ATTTATTGCACACATTCAACACTCTTGTTGCAATCGCGTAGAAAGTTGTCGTATAGACGTATAACCATTCATTTTTATTGAATATTGGCTAAAAATCTTCTTGCAATACTAAATGGATGAACCAATTGTCATTAGGGGGATTGTAACGGTGACAACAGGCAGAGTGCAGGATGACCTGTGTACGGCATGGCCAACAGACATGCTGCAAGGCCATTTGGCGACCAAAAATCATGATTCATTACAATGTATTGCGGGATAGGACGCAACGTTGTATAGGAGGGCCAATCAAACGTGTCAGAACTCATGGTCCTATGGTAGTCCAGAAGGTCGATCAAGTGCCCACACCATAAAACCAACACCTAGTCATGTACTCCCTCCGTTCCCAAATATAAGTCGTTCTAGAGATTTAACCAAGTGACTACATACGGAGCAAAATGAGTGAATCTACACTCTAAATATGTCTACATACATCCGTATATTGCATTCCATTTGAAATGTCAAAAAGACTTATATTTAGGAACTGAGGGAGTACTTAGTATAAACCATAACCAGAAGGTTCACTAAACCCAAATGATGACCAGAACACCAATGCCCATATAGTTTGCTTCAGTGTAGTTGAGACAATGCATCATGTAAAATAGCGGTCATGGCACAAAACAAAGACATAACTCTAGTTTCTTGATACAAAAGGGAAAACAAAATTACGCAAACGAAAGTCTAGACTTATTCACACTCAAACACAAAAAAACAGAAACAAAAGTTGATACTCATTCACACTCACCTCAAGACTTGAATCTGTCTTGAAACTCGGTCCATGAAAGTTGCCCAGCATGTATTGTCCTCATCATCCTGTACACAAGGTGTGGTATTGTACTAAATAAATAGTAGCATTTGATTACGAATATGGCAGCATAGGCCACAGGTCGAAGAAAACCTCAAACTTATCCATGAATAACTGCATCATAGCATCTGGTTCGACTTCTTCTTCTACCATCATCAGTTCTGAATTATCCTTGACAGAATTAGTCCAACATGGAGGCTCATGTTCATGATCCACCGCATATTCAGGCCATGCGTGGCCAGGAAATACTGCAAATAATCCAGATGGCAAAAAATTACACGGGAGGCAAGAAAAAGACCTAAATAACACTGAAATAGGCAACAACCTCTCGGTGCGACTGGCAGAATAGAAGCATCTGGTGAACCTGGTATTTGAGAGCAATCGTTCTCGTGACTAGCGTGCCAATGCAATTCCTGAATAACATTACAGAGAGATTCCCACCAAAACAGAGGTATTTCAGTATTCATGCAGGAGAGGTAAACGGCTATGGTGAGAACCTGTTTGGTACCTGATGCTTCCTAGAACAGTAGCTTGCTTTGCTACAGTGGCTGCACCAAATTTCACCTTTCCATGTACCACACCAATCACAAAGCCGAGCACGGTTTGCACCTAACAGAGATATTTGAAAGACAAAATACACGACCCAGTGCCTTGCTTAACATACGGTGCGCCAATTCAAAGACACAAGCAAATCGGTGGATAATAAAAGTAAAGAGCTTAATTTGAGATCAAAAGCGTGGTGAATTTTGGAGAGGAGGTTGTCAATAATATTAAAGGAAACTTGTGCTATACAGCAGCATACTAAGTTGATGTCTGCACAACTTCAAAAGCTACTCCGTTCTGTAGTGTAGTTCAATCAAGGAGAATTGCAGCTCAACTGCACAAACATGTAGAACTAAAGCAAGCAAAGCTACCTCCTGAACATTGTGATCCCACGCACCCCTTAGGCTCTTCAGCGGTATAAAATGCATTAATTCTGGGCAGCTGGCACCTGAAGACCTTCACACTGCAGCACAATTCACCTCAAGCGATCATGACAAGAAATGTGAAACTTTGGGCCAACACACTAGACAATAAACAGCTATGCTACCGCCTACCGATACCTCCTCCTAGGATTTGCTGCCCTGTCCTTCCCCTGCTCGCGCTGGTCTAGTTGTAAGCACGGCATGGATGGACACATAAACACAAAGAATGCGCGGTGGTAGGTCGTCTCCTTCCACCCATCCGGCACGTATACCTGCACATGTGACCAAATTTTGACTAGACATAAACAACCAGGTAGGGTTAAGCTTTAGGAATGAAGCAAACCTGCATGACAAAACGCAGCGGGTCACCACAGAAGTCACAGCAACTGGATTTTCCAGATGGCAAGTTGACAGGATCAAGCCAGGCCTGGACAATGCAACATGTTTCTCACAGTTAAAGAACAGTTCAAACGGCTTCACGGGAATCGTTCGCAGTCAGCTCCGAGTCCGGCACCCTGTCGGAGCAGCTGGCGGCGATGAGGGAGAAGAGCATGGTGATCCTCAAGGAGTACATCACCAAGCACAACGTCCCAAACGATGTCCCTGATGAATCCATCGAGAGCCCATCGGATGAGGAGGGCGAGGCACTTGCTAAAAACCCGCCCAAGAAGTCTAAGAAGCAGAAGTGGTCGTCCTAAATCTCATCTGATTTATCGTGCGCAAAGATCCGAGAACATGCTTTGCACTGCACTAGCTGCTTGTGTAACAAACAAATCGCTGTGTGCAAGCGATGCTCAATGTTGTTATCTGATAATATGTGTGTGCAAGGAAAGTTTGCGTCTTTCTTTCTGTACAACTCGATGGTGACGCGCAGGCAGGAGCAGGAGGAGGAATCGAATCTGGCGAGGCGAGGCGAAGCGAATCGTTTCTCCATGGCTGAAGTCTTCTTGTTCGACTCGGGCGTAGAGACGTGCACAGCGGAAAGCACCCATCTCAAAAATCAAAATCAAATCAAATCAGGGAGAGAGAGAGAGATGAAGAACATACCTACGCGCGCGGGCGCGTGCAAACGGGTAGACGAACGGACGCACGCACAAACGAATCTCGTCTCCATGAAACGCAACCAACCATCGGTGTGGTTGTCAGGCTCGCCGCCGACCAAGACGACCATCCTCCTCTCCTAAGTCCAAAGTCCTAATATTACTATAAATGCTAGTAATGCTAGCTAGTAATGAATTACTATGACTGGACCAAATATTACCATTGATTTTCTACCTGGAGAGGAGAGACCACGTGCTAGTAATGCAAGGCTGGCATCGCCGACGCGTCCATCACCCGCGACGACAGCATGGCCTCCGGAGCAACGGCGAGCCCATCGAGGTGTCACTGTTGACCGCTCGCCGGCCAGTCCCCTCCCGTCTCTTCGCGCGCTGCCCCGGCCTGGAGGAAGCCGGCGGTGTCGTCCTCCATGAGCCCCCCCGCATCGTCGCCACGGCGGGCGGATTCCTCCTCCTGCGCGTCGCCACTCACCCTCGAGCTTGAGGGACATGAGCTCCCGGTGGTGCTCCGTCGCTGAGGAGGCTCACCCTGTCTTCTTCCAAGACTTCGAGGTTGCCTTCCTACCCCGCGGCGACCACTTCACGGTAGCACCACTTTGTGCGCGCAATATGTTCATATCTGAGGAGTGGAGCTAGAGCAGCAAGGTGGTGGTGGTGGACAGGCCATGGCCATGGCCCAAGCCTTTCCCGCTGCCGGTCCCCAAGGACGCGTGTCGCATCTTTCAGCACGTCACGAGCAACGCCATCACCATCGGTGGCGAACACGGCATCGTCGGCTTCATCGACCTCTGGCGCGGCATCCTGCTCTGCGACCTGCTCACCGACAAGGCGACAACCACGACCTCCGCGACGTGCATGCCGGTGCGGCCAAGCAAGCTGGCAAACGGCGAGGCGGGCACCGGCTGCTGCCCCAGGCCTTTCCGAGGCATCGCCGTCGGTCGTCGGGGGCACCGACTAGTGGTTGGATGATTAGGAGGGCTGGCATCTGGGATTAAACCATAAGTCTGACGTTTTGATGTAGTGTGCATGGATATTATTCTTTCAGCTGCGCAACTTGGACCAGGTCTTGAGTAGGTGGCGTGAGAGTTTTCTGGTTTCCAATTCTTCTTATATACTATAGTTACACATTCCGTAGTTCCACAAAACAAATACGTGCAATTCTAATGTCCGGAATTTGCATCCGCCATTATTTGCACATTCATAAGATTAAGAATGCAAAAATTCAAATTTAGTGTTAGCATACTTGTTGCTCCAAGATTTGTGCATGAAAGGCTCTTTTTTTGTGTAAGTAGTATAACCGACGAATTTGGTTCAGCGAGAAACGCGGTGCTTCCGATTACAGCGGTTTGCAAAACCATAACAAGTGTTTGTTTCGCTGCCAACGTTTTCCGTGACAGCGCTTTCTGATACAGCGTTTCAGACAATCGAAACCGCCCGATCCGGAGGTGATTACAAAATCATGACTCGGCCGCACCAACCAAACAAAGAACGAAATGCGAAAAAATAATCAGAAGCAGTGTGTCCCGTTACGGCAAACCGAATACATTACCTGGGGCGAACCAAACTTGTCGAAAGTTATTTGTTCTTCATTCTCGGGACTAGCGCGACACCAACCACTTGATCTCCAACAAGCAGCAGGTCTCGATGTAAGCCAAAATTTCCATTTCTCCAGAGCATTGTGTTTCAGTGTACTACTCCCTCCGTCCGGAAATACTTGTCATCAAATCAAAATGGATAAAAGGGGGTGTATCTAGATGTATTTTAGTTCTAGATACATCTTTTTTTTATCCATTTTGATGACAAGTATTTTCGGACGGAGGGAATATTTTACATCTCTGTACACTGCACACACATCGCATTGTGCTAAAATGCTTTCAACGCACTTCATTAACCATGCGGTTTTCCTAGGTTTTTTAAACATAGAAAAAGAGCACTAAAATATGTCTCCAAGACTTGTCAAAATTCCTGAAGCTTCTTTCTTGGTGTCGTGCTCATCTCTCGTTGAACATGATGAAAAGCTTGACAACCTCTCCGTCAGTTTGGCCATTCACTCAGAGATGGCACAAGTCCAAAGACCCTTCAGGTCAAACATACCATACCTGAAGCAGCATTTTGTGTATTCGCCATTTGCATTAATCACACTTGAGCAGCACTGTCGCTATCTTGCCCATCACTCATCGGTGTAACACGTCGTAGTTCATCAAGTACCTCAGTAAAATCATCTGGAGGGGGACATGAGAATTCAAGTGCCTTTCCTGAATGAGGATGCTTGAATCTGAAAAGGGAACAATTACCAAAGTCAAATGCAAGAAACTATCCTAAAAGGCAAATGAGACCCAAAAAAATGCCAGTGAGATGCATCCTGGATAATACCTACCCAAGTAATGCAGCATGGAGACATGGCCTGTCTATCTTCGATACCAGATTTGAAAGATCGCCATGATATTTTGAAGGAGTTCTGGGTCTCAAAAGTGACAATGCCATGCTTTTGGTACCTCCATATGTTTCATCACCAAGTAGGGGGTTCCCTAGATATTTAGCATGTGCTCGGATCTAAAAAACAGTAGGTGCAGGATCATTACCAAGATAAAATAAGTGGTTGCATTTGAGAACCATTTTCCAACATTGAGATGTACACTCTATATGATTCAGAATTCCAACTGTTGCCTATAATGCTTTTTAAGCCACAACAAATTCAAACAAATATTGTAGTTATGATACCCCCTTCTTAAAATATGAGACTATCGTGTAATGTATCACCTGGTGAGTGCGCCCTGTCTCCAATCTCCACTCTACCAGTGCAGACCCACCAGCACAAAATACCTCTCTTACTTTATACCTGTAAAATTTCTTGAAATAGCAGAGAAATAAATTTCTGGTCTTGAGAAGAAAAAACTAAGCAACCAAGCCTGAAAACATTTGAAAGTTGCATAAGCAATATATAGTATTTCAAAATAAAATGATGGGGACAGTATTTATGTGGAGAAGCTCTACTCTTGTGAGCGAGCTATGTATAATTACATGAAACATCAAGGTTTAACTTCATAACTCTTCGCCAGCACAGCTAATGCTAGGAGCAAGGAGTCAAAAGCAGGAATTAAGTTGAACTAATCCCTCTTCACACTACTCAGCATAAATAATCTGAACAGTATGAACCTTTTGGTCATCTTGCCTGTATGACTATGACATCAGGCTGGTTTCAACCAGAAGAACTTGTCTTTAGGGACAGCAGATCATTTTAACTGGAAGAACTTTCTTTTAAAAAGAAAATCATGAAGTATTTATTCAAGAAACATTATTTTAGTATGTATGCTTGGCTGTCCTAGTAAGTATTTATATTTAAACTAAACAGCTTTGGAGAAGCAGCATCATATATGGAACCACAAGTCCACAAAAGAGAAGGCACAAGTCAAAAGCATGAATCACCTACTAGCAGCATGCTTTGCATATCTGTGGCCTGATCCAGGAGCAGCAACCATACGTGTCCGGTTGTTAGGATCACGCGATATAGGAACTTCAATTCTGGCAGAATTTGGGCTAGGTACACCACAAGTAAGACTGATGTATACCCTACTTATTGTATGCAGCTTGAATTGCTCTGCTAATTGAGCATGTGAATGCTCATCCTGTCAACAAGGTGAATCCAAAGTAAGTCCATAAACAAATTTGATACAACAAATAAGAGAGACCAATGTTGATAGGTAAACAATAACAGTTTCATTTTCATATGCAAGTCCTATGGGAAGCTATTAGTGTTTATATTTTGGGACAGAACCAACTGGGTAATACCTTAGCTACAACAAGAAGTCCGCTTGTCCCCTTATCAAGCCTATGCACAATACCAGGGCGCACAATAGCTTCGCGGACCTCCGAACTTACTTCACCAATAGTAAATTGGTCAACATCAAATACGTCGACATCATCATCTGAAGATTCAGGGCACTCATCATAAATTGGACTGCGTGCTAAACAGGTAAAAGTTGAAATCTTGCAGTGGTGAAGTATAGCATTGACTAAGGTGCCATTTGCATTCCCTGGTGCTGGGTGAACAACCTAAAAGTCAAAACACATAGAATGCAAGAATAATTATTCTCCCTACCAGTAGAAAGAAAACTGCATGTAAGAGTTTAAAAAACTAAATAGAATTAGGACCGGGAAAATGTTCTGTGGAAAAGGTCAGTATAACCAACATTAACTTGAATGTTGATGTAATACGCAAAACACGTGAATGAACAAGCCCCAAATTTTGAAGTAGAACGAGTTACCTTTCAGTATGCACTGATTTTACAGGTAGCCAGAGACTTCTCATCAACTGTATGTGTGGTTATCTACTGGATATTTTTTTCAATCATTATGTTTCTCATTTAACTAGACACCCTCATTAAGCTCACAACTCTTATGCTGAAGGTCCAGCTATGTAGAAAATAGGCTCTCCACAAACTAATGTGTACATAAAAGTCATGAAACCTTATTGAGACATTCCTAAGAACAAGGTAACTACAAGTAAAATCTTACTCCTCCATATCACTGCAAAAGACGGTGCGTACCATATGAGCCGGTTTGTTCACGACAAGAAGATGCTCATCCTCGTAAACAATGTCGAGTGGGATGTCCTCCGCCTCTGCCCTCAGCGGCTGCAGCTCCGACACGGTGCAGCTGACCTTGTCCCCTCCCTTCACCGTGTGCGAAACCTACTAAGTGCAGAAGCGCAAAGCAAACCAGCTTTAGAATACCAGCAAACCTGCAAATGTTAACAACAAACGGCATCTGCACTGAAACCTGCAAATGTTAACAACAAATGCATTGTCTCCTCAGCTGTTTAGCATGAATATTTCTAGTCTGAGCTCACAGCTGTTGCTTTTCAATATACAGGAGCACTCGAGTTTAAGCGAATGATTAACAGATAAGAAATGCTTAAGAAGCTTCGTAGCTGAATTTTGCAACGGCGAGAAGATGCAAACTTCC